AGGCAGCTCGGCACCTGGTCAGCCCGGCACCTCACAGGCAGCTCGGCACCTGGTCAGTCCGACACCTCATAGGCAGCTCGACACTTCATAAGATCCAGTCGTCTCTTCGGCATGGGCAAAGTTCAGGAGTGGACTATGAGTCGCTCCTAAAGCCTAAGGGCCACGACACTGCTCAAGACCCAGCCGCCTCTTCGGCATGGGCAAAGTTCAGGAGTGGACTCTGAGTCGCTCTCAAAGCCTAAGGGTCATGACACTGCTCAAGACCCAGTCGCCTCTTCGGCATGGGCAAAGTTCAGGAGTGGACTATGAGTCGCTCTTAAAGCCTAAGGGCCACGATATTGCTCAAGACCCAGTCGCCTCTTCGGCATGGGCAAAGTTCAGGAGTGGACTATGAGTCGCTCCCAAAGCCTAAGGGCCACGATACTGCTTAAGACCCAGTCGCCTCTTCGGCATGGGCAAAGTCAGAGAGTGGATTATAAGTCGCTCCTAGAACCTAAGGGCTAAAGTACCGAACTGGCAGAGACCTCGACACCACTTCAGACACAACCGCCTCTTCGGCATGGGCAAAATCCAGGAGTGGACTGCGAGTCGCTCCCAGAGCCTAAGAAACTGAATCAGCACTTACGAGCTCGTCGAATTACGGGCCAAAAGGATAAATTTACTCCCTTCGCCGAGTTATCTTCAGCTTGGGAGTGGGGGGCAAATGATGAGGGCGGATTTGGCCCTCCAATGACAATGTGACACCTGGCACCTCGTGACAACTAGGTGCAACCTCATGACAACTAAGTGCTAACTTCCANTTGGCCCTCCAATGACAATGTGACACCTGGCACCTCGTGACAACTAGGTGCAACCTCATGACAACTAAGTGCTAACTTCCAGGCAGCTCGCCACTAGGCAGCTCGCCACCATGCAACACTTACAAACAACTCGCCACTAGGCAGCTCACCATCACACAGCCTGGCACCTTACAGGCAGCTCGACCATCGCATGATAATTCCCAGGAGCTCACCACTGTACCCCGCATTTTACGGGATTGCGACTTGTAACGGCTATATTAGCTCACCCACTCCTCGATTCAGGCGGAGATGGGCAACCTTACTGGTTGGTGGTTTTATCCCCACCTAACACGAAAACAGGTCCCATCACACCGGGAATCCAGGAATTGCTCCACCAAACCCGCGAAGACTCCAGTATATAAAGACCTCACCCCCCAGGGGCGAAGGTAGGCAAAAGGGGAAAAATGATGCTTCTTGCAGGCAACCAGTTCCCACCGTCTACAATGATGAGCAGATCATCTCCTGCAGGGAGCAGCCGGGTTGCACTACACCAGGGAGCTCCACTTCAGCCCCCGAGTCATCGGCCACCTGGGAGCAGACCAAATGACGAGGTACTTAGCACAAAAAACTGATACGTGACCGGAAACGGTTACATCAATCTGTTCAGTTGACTTTCATTGGACCAAGGATCTATTGGTTGCAGCCATTCATAATGGTTTAGTATGGCTTTATAGCATTCCAATTGCCATGGAAGTGGGCTACTTTTGGAGGTCTACACTTTTTGTGACTTATCCGCATCATTGTGTCCTCAAATGGCCCACAAAATGCATACCTTAAGATATGGTTTTAGGATGGTCATAGGATATTTGCCACATAAAGATTTATATGATGGCCTGGAGTTGGATTAGTGCTCTATAAGCATCCTCCTTTGTTTATTTGCTATTTCTTGGTACTATTGCAATAACTTTGCCAACACCTTGCTGTACCAGTTGCTTGCACTTGTGCAACTATTGGTTATTGATGTGTTTTCAATGAAATTATTGATCATACAAAATACTTGCAATTTTTTCTTGTAATGAAATTATTGATAAAAATTGTTTTTTAATAGCAGTCAAGTCCATTTCAAGCAATTTTCTATTTAATCACGG